TTGGTTGCAATGATATGTCCAGTTCGGGTACGGATCGAAATCTTGTGAATGCTATCAATTGTAACTTCTATGCGGAACATAAGTAGCAATAGAAAATTTTTTGACTTTGAATAATTTTTTAGGAAAATATATTCGCATGAATGGTTTTTGAATCTGAAGATTTTATAACTATATTTTGTTGCAATGTGCTTCGTAAATAATGAAAGAAAAAAAGAGCTGTAAGGACAATCATTGTTGGATTAAAATATGAAATATGATGTAATTGCTCTTGTCAATCACAGGAATATTGTTACGGAAACAAACTTCCTGACCATTCATTTTCTTCATTCTCCAGAGATACAATAAGGAAATAGTTTAATGAGAAATAATTAATATATATACTTTGTGATCGTATATCAAGGTTTGTTATCATCTATGATACAGAAATAGTATTGTTGCTAATGCGTTTTCCAAGGTCTGTAAGAACAAGGTGAATTAGTCTAAATCTGTTACTCTATATTCTAACATTCGTTTTAAATCGAATATGACAAAATTAATGTATACAAACTTTTACTAAATTTGTAATATTGGTTTTTTTTTTCTTGCTAGAATCCAAAAACAAAAGCAAAAGATTGGTCAGATCAAGAAATTCTTCTATTACTTGAAGGTAAAATAATTAATTTCATTTTATGTTTTTTGTTTTTCCTCAATTAAAAATTTTTATATTCTAATATTTAGGTCTTGAAATGTATAAAGATGATTGGAATAAAGTTTGTGAACATGTTGGTACACGTACACAAGATGAATGTATATTAAAATTTCTTCAATTACCAATTGAAGATCCATATTTAGAAGGAAATGGTTCATCATTAGGTCCACTTGCATATCAACCAATACCATTTAGTCAAAGTGGTAATCCAGTAATGTCAACAGTAGCTTTTCTTGCATCAATTGTTGATCCACGTGTTTCAAGTGCTGCTGTTAAAGCTGCATTAGATGAATTTACTAAAATGCGTGATGAAGTATCACCATCATTTATTGAAACTAATAGAGAAATAATTGAAAATGCTTTAAAAAAAGGAAAAAAACTTGATGAAAATTTAAGTTTAGAATTACTTGGTTTAACAAGTAGTACAGGTAGATTTAAAGAAGATAAAATTAAATTTTTCCTATTTAAATATTATTATGTTTTATTTTAATAAGATGATACTACAATAGATAAAACTAAAAATAGTACCGATAATGAAGATTCATCAAAAGTAAAACAAGAAAAACTCGATATTAATGATGAACAACAAACATCAACAGATAAATCTGTAATATAAAAATAAATTAGTTTTCAAAAAAATTCTTATCAAAACAAAAAAATTATTTTCATTTAGATTAATCATGAAGATGAATCAAAAAGAATGGATGTTGATGAAAATGATAAATCAGCAATAGAAATAAATACACAAAGTGGTGATACACAAATTATAACTGATGATACGTCATCAACTATTCCAAAAACAACAACAACAAATGTTGATCAACATTCAAAAAAAAATTCAACTAATGATGTTAATGAAAGAGATATTAAAACAGCTGCAGCAAGTGCATTAGCAGCAGCCGCTGTTAAAGCTAAAGTATTTGTTAAATATTTAAATTTTGATATTTTTAAAAAAAAAGAAAATTTCTTTTTTTTGTTTTTTTTTAGTATTTAGCTTCAATTGAAGAACGTAAAATAAAATCAGCTGTTGCACAAGTTGTTGAAATGCAAATTAAAAAATTAGAAATTAAATTACGACATTTTGAAGAATTAGAAACAATTATGGATCGTGAACGTGAAATGCTTGAAATTCAACGACAACAATTATTACAAGAACGACAACAATTTCAATTAGAACAAATCAAAACATCCGAATTAAAACATCGACAAACAACACATCCTATAACAACATTATCAACTGTACATAATCCACAAACTTCTAATGTTAATACAAATGGTAAACAACAATCAAATATTAGTTCATCACCACCACCACCATCATCATCATCATCACAAGCACCACCATCAACAACAACAACAACAACAACTACAAATATTCCTTCACAATCCACTAATGGAAATGAAACACATATGCAAAGTGAAGAATCAACAGATTCTTTACAAAGTGATGGTAAATAAATAAACAAGAAAATTTTTGTATTTGATTTTTGTTTATGATTTTTTTTATTAGTTTCACCTGCTCCAATGACATCACCAAAAATGTTATCGACATTAATAAATGATAATATTGTTCCTGAAGGTAAATTTTGCATGAATATTTCTCTAGTTGGCTCATTTTGCTGCTTGTTTTGATTTTATTCCATGCTTGCTTTATCTCCGTTTTCCCTATTGTTTGTTGTAGTTTTTGTAGTTGTTGCATGTCAATAGATGCATAAATATATATATATATATACATGTACACGTAGAAAAATAAACTTGCAACACAAAAAAAAACATGCGCTCTCTCGCTGGCCAGTTTAAATAAAATAAATAAATCTCAATCATTATGTTGCTGTAGATGATACTTCTAAAAAAAAATCGTATTTCTCCCTTTAGTTAGTGTTATTAAAAATGTAGATAATTTACTTAAACAACATCTATTTGAAAAACTCAACAAACAAAAATAAAAAAAAATAAATAAATAATAAAGAAAACGGTTAGAATGCGCTCTAACGCTTTATTGACATTGTTTATTCTTTGTTACCTATGTTTCTTTCATTTGTGGGATTGGCTCGGGGCTAACCTTTAATATATACATATATGATTTTCAAATATATCTTTTTCTTTTTCGTCTTCTCACTGATTTCAAATACATTCTTTTCTCTATCGTTTTGTCTATCTCTGTGGTGTTGGTTTTCTCTATTTCTATGTTGGTGTTTTCTGGCCAAAATACATAAGAAGCTCGAGAGAGAGAGAGAGAGAGAGCGCATATATTTGTTGTTTTCTATATTGTCCTTGTCTGCATGTTCACTTCATGTATATAATCTTTTCACTATTGCCATTGTTTTGTACACACAGATACATATATGTATATATATTTATATATATTTTGGGGTTGCATGCATCATCTTATCTTTCTTTTATGTAGTAAAAGACAATGAATTGATGCATGAATGAAAAAAAAAAAAAATTTTTTTTATTTCCATGGACATATTTTGTTAATTTGTATTCTTCCTTATTTATTGTGTATTTGACTATATACAATAATTTGTCTTCTTGGTTTTTTTTTTTTTTTGGTTTTTTTTGTTACTATCTCTTTCCAATTTCAGGCAGTACAGTAGAAGCGACAACAACTAAAACAACAACATGTACAACAACATCAACAACGTCTTCTCATGGTGTTACAATTAATAATACAATAATCACTACAAGTGAAAAAATGCTGATTGTAAACACCGGTGAAAATGGTAGTGATACAAATACTATTGCTAATAATGCTCCTGTATCTACCATTACAGAAAATGACAATACAAATAATAATAATTATTAACAGAATAAAAAAAACCTTTTGTGTTTTCTCATCTTTTTTTTTTTTTTTGTTCTTTTCTTTTCTGTGTCTCTCGAATGTATTCTCTTAAAAAGTTGCCAGCCAGGCGTTTAACTCATTTTGAATGATCTTTGTGTTTCGTCTGTTATTAGAATTTGATCCTTTTTTTTTTGTTCTTTCTTCTCTTATTCTTTTCAAATAACGCATACACTACTTACTGCCACTTACATACACACAAAACATAGTGTATTATATATATTATATATATATTTACTTCTATTAGAAATTCAAATTTATGTCTCTTCTTGTTAGAGCTAAATCAGAACATGAAACAAAACAAAAAGATGTGTATGTGTTATAAGAAAAACGCGTCTTATATTATTTCTTATTTGTTGTTGATCATTAAAAAAAATGAAAACAAGCCAAAAAAAAACACAATCTGTATAGACAAAAAAAATGATTGTTTTATGTTATTTCTTATTTCTAGGAGGTTTATCAGATAATAGTGAATTATCTGATGATCAAGATGAAGGCTCAATGTCTTTATCATTAACAAGTGGACGAAAACGAAATCGAAATTCAACGCAACCATCACGTACATCATTAGCAGGAAGTTTTAATAGTACATCAAGACGTTTTGGATCAAATGATCAATTAAATAGTGGAACAGCTTCATCATCTAACACAAGTGGACATCATTTAGATGATGATAAACGACGATATCAATGTTCAACATGTTCAAAAAGATTTAAACATAAACATCATTTAAAAGAACATGAACGATTACATACTGGAGAAAAGCCCTATACATGTGATAAATGTGGAAAACGATTTAGTCATTCAGGTAAGTTCATTAATTATTATTTCATTTCAATTATTTTTTGTATCACAAGGTTCATATTCTCAACATATCAATCAACGTAACAAATATTGTCGACCTGATCAAGCTGATACAGAATTTGAATAATTAATTAGACAATAACATTCATGAACAAAAATAAAATATCGATCGCTTCTGCTTTTTCCTTTTGTCTTTCAATGATTCGTTTTTTTTTTTCGTTTCTTTTGCTAGATCTTTCTTTTCTTTTTCTTTTTTTCGACAGAACAAAAAACAGTTTTATGTAGATAATATTCAATAACGTGATATTAACAAACGAACAGTATTACACACAACAGACAATAATTTTAAGTATTTATTAAATGTGATAAAAAAAAATAGCAAACATTCTACAATGAAATTTCCCATTGTGTATCGCTCAATCTTTTGTTTTCTTTTTTTGTATATAAATAGAACAAGGGGCGAATAGATCACACATATAAGTCTTTGTGAAAAATTTCGATTACAATAATAATTAATTCATATAAAAAAAATATTTCGTTTGTATCGTTTCTTTTATAGCGCAATACATCTTTTAGATTTGTTTCTTTTGTTTTGTAAATAAAAGTTTTTTCATGTATTACATTCTATCGATACGATTTGCTTTTAGAAGAAACAAAAAAAGAACTATGGGTAAAAAAAAACATTCATTTGAAGATGAACAAAAAGATAAAACTAGTAAAAAAAATCAACAAGAGGAACTTGAATATGCAGAAATGCCAACCGGATGGAAAGAACCACCATTCACTAAAGAAGATAATCCTCATGGTAGAATACTTTGTTTTTTTCTATTTTCTTTGAAAATGATATTATTTAATTGTATATTAATTATATTTATAGGACTTGTTGCTGAAAGTTCATTTGCAACTTTATTTCCAAAATATCGTGAAAAATATCTTCAAGAATGTTGGCCATTAGTCAAAACTGAATTATCAAAATATGTAATAAAAAAAAAAACATAGAAAAGAAAATTTATTTTGATATTTATATTTTATTTTTAAAGGGTATTAAAGCTGAACTTGATCTGGTCGAAGGTAGTATGACTGTTCGAACAACACGTGATGCATATGATCCTTATATGATTATTCGAGCACGAGATTTAATTAAACTACTTGCTAGAAGTGTTCCTTATGAACAAGTAAAATTCAATATTTTCCTTAAAAGAAAAATTTCTTTTTTATTTTTGAATATTTCAGACAGTTAGAATTTTACAAGATGATAATGTATGTGATATTATTAAGATTAGTTCATTTGTTCGTAATAGAGAACGTTTTGTTAAAAGAAGACAACGATTAATTGGTGCAAATGGATCAACACTTAAAGTAAATCATTATTATTAATTATCATTTAATCATTCTACTGTAAAACACTATCTAAAAGAAGTATTGAAGTGTATAGAGTAGAAATTTACATCAAATGCCTTCTCCGAATAAACTATGACAGGTACCATTGACAGATTGTGACAAGCAGCTTAGTCACTTCTTCCTTTTATCCTCAATGTCACGGCTCTTGACAGACGTTGTTGGTATATGATCATAAACTATATATCAATAACGTCTAGCTAAACTAATTCCTTATTGTATTTCTGGAGGATTAAATAAAACAATGGTGAAGAAATATGTTCCAAAATAAATAGAATGAAACAATGTCCCTATGATTAGCAACAGTAGCAAACATCATGTTTTATATGTTAATCTCTCAGGCATGGTATTAAAAAATTTTTTTATTCATATTTAGGCTATTGAACTTCTAACAAATTGTTATATTCTTGTTCATGGTAATACAGTGACTGCTATTGGACCTCATCAAGGTATTCGACAGGTATATATTTTTGTATTGTTATTATTATAGAAATTTATTTTCATTTTATTTTAGGTTAGAAAAATAGTCGAAGAAACAATGCAAAATATTCATCCAATTTATAATATAAAAGTAAGAAAGAATTATGGTTCTCTTTTTATAATTTCTTTTTTATTTATCTATTTAGACATTAATGATAAAACAAGAATTAGCTAAAGATCCAAAATTAAAAAGTGAATCTTGGGATCGTTTTCTTCCGAAATTTAAATCGAAAAATCTTTCTAAACGTTATAAACCTCATAAAATTCGTGTTACTAAGCCATATACGCCATTTCCTCCACCACAACCTTTATCAAAAGTAAATTATTTATTTATTTATTAGAATTCCTTTAATAATTAATGATTATTTTTAAAAACAAATTTAGATTGATAAAGAACTTGAAAGTGGTGAATATTTTTCTAGAGAAGCTGAACGTCGTCAGAAAAAGTCTGAAAAACATCAAGTTAAATTGGATAAAAATACTGAAGTATCATTACAACGAAAGAAAGAAAAACGAGAAAAAGAATTCATACCACCTATTGAAAAACAATCTAATTTCAAACAACAACCAACAACAACTGATGGTCTGTCAAGTCTATTTATCTATTTATTTGATAAATATTTTCCCTTTTTTTTTTTGTTCTATTTTCTAGATACATCAAAATTAGTTAAGAATGTCAAGAAGAAACTAAAACGTTTACAAGCCGATTAATTTTTATTTTTAAAATAAAAATTTTATTAGGCTACTGATCGTTCATAAAAATTGTTATTTGTTTTGTTTTTCTATTTGATAAATATAACTAAACTAACATGATTAATATACTGATCATGAATAGAAATGAAAGAGTCGTTCTTATTGATGCTGATGAAATAACTATTGATGTATCATCAAGACATAAACCTGATAAACAACGAAGTTTGGCTGTACAAACAACTCCACCTTGATGTTGACATTTTAATTCAGCAAGATGATTTTTTCCATTCCATGAACCTTTACAACGATTTTGATTTAAATATAAATCAAGTTGATTATTTCCTAATGTACCATTACCAATTTGTACTGAACCATATTTAACAGCAAGTATTGATCGTTTTTGATTCAATATAAATGGTCCATTGGGTTCACATGTTTCAGTTGAAGAATTACATTGACATGAATCAATTAAAAATATTCCATTTAAATTTTGACTTGATACTGTTTGTAGAAATAAGAAATACAGAATAAGTGTTATAGTTGTATAAAACATGTTGATATGAATGTTATAAATTGAAGAAAGAACAAGATTTATAAATGAACAATTTCATGTAATTGATATTTTAAGCCTTTGTATATTCAATGTTTAGATTTAAGTAAAGGGTAATATGAGATGTGTATATATATATATATATATTTAACATTAATTTCATGGTTAAATTTTGAAAAAGAACTTTCATTTACTCATAGTACTTGTATATCAGTGAAATAAAAGATTTAAAACAAGGTGAATATTATAAAATAGACAATCAAGTTTTAGGATGTTGTTCTAATATTAATTATACATTTGTACGTAACTAAAATGACTGAATTTATGATTCATGCTAATTAAATTTATAAAATTTATAAAAAGAAATTGAGTTTCATCCGATGAGACGGTAAAATTTTAAAATGTAACAATGTAAGACTAATAGATTATCTCAAGGAGATGAAGATTCTGAATTTTAAAGAAACTAGGGTTTTTTTAATAGCTTTCAGTCTATATAAGTAAGTATGTTTTGTTTCTGTGCACAATATGTTACATTTTTTTTCTATGGACCACCATCAATCAACATTTTCTCAACAGTGAGAAACAAGAATCTTTATAAATAACTTTGTTAAGAATATCAAATATATGTATTTAGAAACGAGGATGTGACAGTAAGCGTTAGGGGATGAAGTTGAGATTGTATTAGTATGACAATCTAATGATTAGTCTGAGGCTTCTCATGTTAAAGAAAGACCACATCCTTATAAGAAATAAAATATGTAGAACAATTAAAACATTAAGAAGAATAAAAAACAAGTGCAATTGAACAATATTGAAAGCACTATAGATAAGGAGCAATGAGTAGAAATGACTTTACAAGCTCTATACTGTTGAAAAAAAAGGGTAGAATCATAAAGCCAACAAACAGAGTTCATTAACTTCATTAATCATTTTAGGATATATGACAACTTCATAAATGCTACAAGATTGATGAGAGTTTAATGTAGAGTTTACGGGATAAATAAATTCGTTTGTTGGCTTTATTATTCTATACTTTTGTTTTTATAGTGTAGTACCACTTGACCAAGACCAATTTCATCAGCTATGATTATTTGTGAAAGATTTCAAAATAGAAATCATATGTTATCTATAAGAGTATATGTTAATTGTCAAAGAAGCACAATTCAACTGAAGATGAAAAGAATATAAAATAATATGGGTAGAAATTATTGATATTCATAACTTCTATTAATAATGCCGACAAATAGTAAATTGTTCAATGCAGACAACCGATCATAATGATATTGCTTATGAAAAACAAGTAAAAGACATTTATAAATATGCAATGTCTTTTCTTTACAGAAATTCTAGCTCTATTTTTGAGTATCAGAAGAGATGTACTATGAAAATGAAATTAATAACAAGTTCAAAATCCTAAAGAAAAATAAGTTCTTCATGCCAACTTAGACAGTTTCGTGGATGAAATGAAAAAATTACATACAATACATACATATTAAATCATAAAATTATTTTTGATCATAGTATTATCGATTATTGATAGACATTAGCAGAAGAAATTTTATGACAAAAAATTAAGTCAGTTATCGATTTCTCATAGATGCTAACAAAAGTATGTAAAACAACAATTTGATAAAATTCTGAATTATTTAATAGTGTTCAACAAATTGAAAGTTTCTCTCAATTATTGAACTACACAATGTTGTTTTTCGTGTGCTTCAGTGAAATACTTGAATATTTGAATTTCAAATTTTCAAATGTCCAACATTCAACAATTGAATTCAACTTTTAAGTTTGACACATATAGTTGGAAAAACGAATTGTTCGAAAATTATTACCTGATAACTGAGATGACTTCTATTGAATTTAAAAAGCAATATGAAACACTTGTAGAAAAAAAAATAATGGGTTTGACTACTATTTATTATGATGGCTATCAAACAAAGATTCTACAACATCAATAACAATATCAATAAAATCTGCATGTATTTCAACTATGATTTGCAAGCACTAACAATGACAGTGATATTTGTGGTTTTAATTCAACAAAAAATTGTTTAAATAACTGAAGAAGCAAGACGATTCAAAAAGTCTATATCAAAAGTCCATGTGATAGACCAAAACTATTAAATGATCGTAAGCGTTCATCCATAACAAATAAAATTGTAGTGGTATTATGTGGTCGTTACCTACATTGACTTCAGTAAGTATCATCATATGGATATTCGAAAAAGAACCATTGTTTGAATGTTTTCTTAAACTATTTTCTTTTTCTTATGATAGATATACGTATGATATGCGTTTCACAAAAAATATATCCGAAGAGAATCTCGAAGCATTGTTGAAAAAATTCAATTACCATCATCCAAATATTGACATTACTTCTAACATAAGAAATTGCTTTTCATTTCTTGATATTCTGTTGTGTAATGCGTATGGTTATCATTCAACATCTATCTATTGTAAATCAGGTGATGAATTTTCGTAGTACCATTGATATTGTCATGCTAGATATATGCTGCAATATATAATTGTAGTTGCTGTATTGTGAAGTATACGATATTCATTGACATCTGATGCATTTAACTTTGAATAATTATTTCGTTACCTATCCATAAAATCAATGCATAATTTTCAAAGTTCTTTTTTAATCAATAAGGTTCCTTGTTCTTTGATTCTGCGGACGATTGATGATGCAAGTACATTTATTGTCGCATATAACGAAACTGCACCAAAACATACTTCTAGACAATCGTAAGTCATGGTGAATACATCAATAATCAAAACTAATGATGATGCAAGTGTTGAATAACTCATGCAACCACAGTTGACAATAAGTCAGCAAAGCAAAAATAATAAATTCAAATAACGTCTATTTCTATATTATAATACGCATGAGAACATACTGTAAATTCAAAGGAACGCTAGTGAACAATGTACATTTGATTATTCATAATCGAAATAGTCCAAAAGCGAAAACTGAATTTTGATGAAAATGTTCTCATTCATTCATTCTGTACACATTAAATAAGACTAAACACGTGTCAACTATTTAATTTATCATGCATTTATTTCCTTTCAACATAAAATATCTTTTCGTATATCTAGAATGCAATCAGAATGCATTACCTATAATAATTTTCTTGTCTTGAAAGTCGAGTAATATGATACTAACTACGGTTTCCTCCTTGTTCAATCTCTGGAATTGTCATCTCATTTTTTCATGGTATATATTTGAATAATTACTCATTCACAAAATATAAACAAACGAACACCGTACAAAATCATTTACGAGTATTAACACACATTCCTTACATATTCGATTGCGAATCAGGGCGATTCGTATTCCAACTAGCAAGCGAAAATATAGTGAACGTTCTAGGTAATCCTAGTAACTAATTCACATGGCGATGTAGTCTAAGCTTTGTAGCAAAAAAGTCTCTTTTGGAAAACAGGTTGAGTTCTATTATGAAATTTGTGGAAACATATTTTTAATTAAAAAAGAGTGTAAAATATTCATATATAATGATCAAATACAATCCTCTTGGTTTTGCATTAATGCTTGATACTGGATTCTGATCAGTGAAAAACGCTATCATTCTTGATTCGGTAGCGAATGTGAATATCATGATTTGGAGGTGGAATCCCAAAACCATGCCTGGCCTTGTGCATAGCTGGCATCGTTAATTCATCGCATTGGCGTACGAATTCGATCTCATATTGTTTTAGTAATGCTATCAGTGTTAGTTTCACGATGTTTTTTCCAAGATGACGTCCGGGACAGATAAACTTGCCTTCGTCAAATGGAGCATGTACTCGTCGAGCAGCTGTACTAATTTCGTTTGGACTTCCAATAATGAATCGATCGTAGATGAATTCATTCGGGCGAGGAAAAAAACGTTCGTCAATTTGTGAGGCGTATGGAAAAAGCACGATAATATCATTTTGTAACAATGAAATAGGCATGTTAGCATCTGGAAAAGTTACCTCTGTGTTTTGCATACATTCTCGTACGACGAGAGCATTGGCCTTGAGACGCATAGTCTCTTCAACACACGCATCTAAGCAACGTAACGAATTGAGCACATCATCTTTGTCCAACGAGAACAATTCTTTGTTGATTTCATACATCACATCATTATATGCTTTTGAGTTAAGACGAATATAGTAATATGTCCAGAAGACGGCGGGATAACATTTCCAAAAGCGGCCCACAATAAAGCAGTTTCGATGTTGCCTATATCTTCTTTGGAAAATTCGCTTATCATTTCATTTAATTTTGAGGCAAAGTTACTTTCAGAATTATCGAGATTGGTCGACGCTAATCGCTGAGCAATAGTCTTCTTTGCTCGGATCAAGTCAGGTCGAAACCAAAGAAACGGTGATGGATACGCTAGCAGATGAACATCTTCATCGAATGTTTTCAGTTCTTTAACGATTGATCGTGCATCAACACTCAATCCGAACAAAG